CATCGTATTGTTTGCTTTTTATTGTATTTTCTTTGAAATTTCATATGTTTTCTTGTCTTTCTTTTACAGGTATTTTGTTTATTACTTTATGAACTGTTATATTATGTAATTGTAACTTAGAATGATAGTTAAAATGTTTCTAAATTGATCTTTTGGCATAAATGTTAAAATTAGATTAAATATTTGTTTATTAAAATTCATTTGGGTGGATAGGGTGGCTATAAGGGGAGATGTGGAGGCCACAGAGGGTTAGGGAGGCTTTTTTCTCCCTAATCATGTGTTTAAATAATAATATGACAGTTTATAAATAAATAACATTCTTTTTTGTATTTTCTTTGAAATTCCATTCGTTTTCTTGTCTTTCTCTTTCAGATATTTTGTGTTGTAACTTTTATTAGTCATTATATTATATTTTGTTTGTATTATGTATTATACAGTTGTTTGGAATAAATATCGTTGAAATAGATGTAATTTTTGTCTAAATAAATAAATATTAACTCATTATTGTTTTATCATTTGCGTGTTTTACCTGTGTAATAGTTGTTGAATGTATGTAAAATAAATAACAAGTTAAAATGTGTGACCTTGGATCGGTCTAAAACAGTATTGATTTTTATTCTGAGAACCTAAGTGACTGCAGCGCCATCTAGAGGTACGCTCTTGAACTGCAATAGTTCGACGGTTTGTCAAAAGAGGCGCCACCATCGCAGCCCTGGCGGCAAATCGATGAACTAAGCAGTTCAGTCATCCCCCGCTAGAGGGCGCTGCAATCACTAAGGTTCCGAGAATAAAAATCAATACTGAAATAGACCGATCCAAGGTCACACATTTTAACTTGTTATTTATTTTACTTTGTTTTAAATACATTCAACAACCATTACACTAATCATGGGCGATTCAAGTTCACACATTTTAACTTGTACTTTATTTTACATACATTCAACAACTATTACACAGGTAAAACACGCAAATGATAAAACAATAATGAGTTAATATTTATTTATTTAGACAAAAATTACATCTATTTCAACGATATTTATTCCAAACAACTGTATAATACATAATACAAACAAAATATAATATAATGACTAATAAAAGTTACAACACAAAATATCTGAAAGAGAAAGACAAGAAAACGAATGGAATTTCAAAGAAAATACAAAAAAGAATGTTATTTATTTATAAACTGTCATATTATTATTTAAACACATGATTAGGGAGAAAAAAGCCTCCCTAACCCTCTGTGGCCTCCACATCTCCCCTTATAGCCACCCTATCCACCCAAATGAATATTAATTAACAAATAATTAATTTAGTTTTAACAATTATACCAAAAAATCAATTTAGAAACATTTTAAATATCAACCTAAGTTGCAATTAAATAATATAACAGTTCATAAAGTAATAAACAAAATACCTGTAAAAGAAAGACAAGAAAACATATGAAA